TAGGATATTATCTTTCTTGCTAGTCAAGTGGTGAATGATCCAATTCTCAAGTCTCATCCTACCCCTGTTTTCTGAGACTATTTCCAGTGATATTTCTGTCAGTTCTAATACTCCAAGAAGCATAAACCAATATGGAATTAGATATTCAAGAAATATATTGAGGGAAAAACCTATAATGAATAAAGGATAATGGAAAACAATAATAGGGAGATTATTATGAGGCAGATCTGGGTATCCGTGAATGAGATAGAGAAGAGGAAATTTTGAATCTCAGAGCACAGTGGATTTGTGACTCTAAGACTAATGGGGATTTATGAAGCAGAGGCTGCTTCATATTGAGTAGGAATCCTGGTCCTAGTCCTCCACCACGTTCAGTCATTGGCTGGGGGCATCCTGGGGGATGCATGGCCTCAGAGTTCAGGGGGCAGCAGTTAGGGCTGTCAGAAACTCCCACTTTACATCAAATTCTTTTGCAGGAGATCTGAGTAGAACATGTCCATGTTCATTACACTGATTTAAAAATGAATCTGGAAAATAAAAACAGGAGCAACTGAGAAGTGTTTGAAAAAGAAGAATAGTGAAACTGACTAGCTGTATTAGTTGAAAAACTTACTCTAGCACTGTATTTCAACAATGGGCTAGCATGTAGGTTAGTCTCTTAATATCTAGATTCACCACCTTCTCATTTGTTCTCCTTGACTATGGAGGCTGGAGAGCTAAATGTGTCAGTTCCCCAATGTCTCCTGCAAGTGGAAGGAACAGGCTACCTAATTCATTGTGGACCAATGAGGTGTAAGCAGATATCTGTTGGGGATATTGTGAGTTTTCTGGGAGCCACTGTTGTCAAGGACGGCAACCCCAGCTCGTTTGTGGCTTAGGCTGACCACCCTTGAATTTTGTGTTATGTGATATTAATAAATCCTTATTTGATCAAGATATTTCAATTGATTATTTCACCTAAATTAAATTCTACTTGGATGAAAAATGTATTTTTTGTTAAAATAATAGGTCATTTTAACAGCATTGAGAGCTAAAAGCAGACCTGTGACTCTATGGAAACTTAATATTTCAAAGTTGGCATATAAAATTAGTGAAGAACAGATGGATAATTATTGGTGTCGGGACAACTATATATTGGACAAAAAAATTCTTTATGTTATACACAATAATACAGTTCATATTGAATTGCAGTTGATATTAAAAGTAACATAGGAGAAATTTGGAGTACATCAGACTTTCTAAATAACTCATAATGTATAAAGTCATAAAGGAAAATAATGATCTATTACATTATTATTGAAGATTTCTGGATCACAAAAAGCCCCATAAATGAGTTAAAACTCAAATGACAGGCAAATGCATGTGACGTATCTTGACAGCCATAGACATAGAGATAGAGATTATTAAAATTCATAACATGTAAGGTACACTTCTGTATCAATAAGGCAAAACAATATCTCAATTAAAGCTATATGGACAAGTAATTTCTGGAAGAGAAACTATAAATGATCAGATTAATGGAAACTCAATCTCACTAGTAATTAGAGACATGCAAATTTTAAAAATGGCTATCATTTTTGACCCATCATATTGATGAAATTTTTAAAAGGATGATAAAATTAAAAGTGTGAGTGACAATGTAGAGATATAGGCACTTTGTTGGAAGTGTAAATGTGTAAGCCTCTTTGGAAGACAATCTTCCATGTTAATTACAAGTGAAAGTGCACATGACCTCTGCTTGGTAAGACTGATGCTACTGCCACTGTCCGTCATAGAGGAGCATGGGATGCAAAAGATCTGAGGTACAAGGGATCTTTGCCAAATCAAGAACAGGTGAACTGTGGCTTCAAAGTTATTTACCATAAGGAAGAAATTATAGGAAAGAGGAATAAGATGAACCTTTTTCAGGTATGTAATTCTGAAACCATGTGATTAGCTTTGGGAGATACTGAGGCTTTGGGTGGCCAGAACAGAGAGTGAGTGTGGACAAAAAATGAGAGATAAAACTAGAGAGTTAGGAAGAAACTAAGTCACAAACCGCCTGAATGTCTTGGAGATAAAGGGCTTGGATTCACAATGCCATGAGGAACCAGTGAAGAAAGTGACCTTACTTCATCATTAAGAGGCTCCCTTTAGTTGCAGTTTGATTGGTACAGTGGAGAGAGGAAAGTCTAGGAAGAAAGCAATGAGAACCAGAACACAGAGAATAGTCCGAAGATGGGAAGGTGGGTCCAGAAATGAGAAACTCTGTGGAAATCAGATTAACTGACTCACCCAGTGCCATGAAAAAACATTCACAGCAGAGTTGTGAGGAGCACTTACATCTAAAACAAAATAAAAAAGAATGGTAGGTAAGAAAAAGCAAGTGCATGTTTGGAAAACTGTCTAGGAAATGCCAAATGTTTTATTTTATATGACTTCAAAATGAGAAGCTCTCTTTCCCCATGCATGGTGTAATTGGACCCGATCAAAATTATTCAATGGTTTGAATTTGCTGCAACTATGAAATGGGGAGAAAGAAATGGGCTTAAAGTCATTTAAACTTGCAATCCAAGTATAGTTCTGCTGCTTTCTAGATATAAGATGTTGGGCAAGTCTCTTGACTCTTTTAAATTTCAGTTTCCTCAAATATAAAATGAAAGAGACAGTATTTTGTTTCATCATGGGTGTTCTGAGGTTTGAACACAATAATATATATGAAGGAGGCTTGTAAAATATAAATGCAATTTTAAATGTGGCTAGAAGTAGTTAAGAGATAGTGTATCTGGATTCTTAAGGTTTGCAGGTGCATTCTTGTAAGCTGTTATGAATGAAAATGTCTAAAATCTACACAAATAAGTGTTGCTTGTCCAAGACCCATCTTAGATTTTACTAATTATGTGGTATTTCTGTCTCCAACTATGACTGCAATTTTTTTGTGGGTCAAGCCTCTCCTTTGTTCCTTCTTTTGCTTCACTGCACAGAGCCTAGCTTAGCATGGGGGTGGTACAAATTCATATTGATCAAATGCAATTAGATATTGTACTAGATAATTTGGAATATGTTAATATGTAGACTAGGGATTGTTAGTTTAGTTTTAACCTGAGAAAACTGATGCTCAGAAAGATGCAGTGATTTGCTCAAGACACACAGTTATTAAATGGTGAAATGGGATATAACCCCTGGTATTTCTGACTGCAAAACTCATCTTCTGTGAAGAACTAAATTAAGTTGTATTCAATTCCTGAGCTGCGGTTGCTTCATAAATGAGCTTAGGTTTACAATCTGAATTTGGTCTTACAACTCTGTGCAGTGCTCTGGTCTGCTATTTTATCCACTGGGCACACTCTGTGAAAGTGTAAGAGGTCTTCCAGGTGACCTATCCAATTAGAAGAAGAACCAATGTCCTATATATTAACCTCAGAGGAAGAAAAGACCTCTACTGTTTTCACAGTAGGATGTTGTACTTAATAACCCTGAATCTGAAAAATCAAGAAATAAAAAAAGTCCTAATTACAACTTTTCAGGCATTGTCAGGGGGGTTCAAGAATTTGCTATTTTATCTTCAGTAAAATGAAAGAACATTAGACCTGGTAGGTAATTAGAGATTGTCTAGTACATCTGACTCTAATATCAGATGAGAAAACTGAGTCCCAGTGAAGTCAGATAACATCCCCCAGATTATACGGGAAGTTAGTGGCAGAGTTGGAAATAGATTCCATTTAACTGTCTTTCAGGAAAATACAATTCTTTCCACAATGGTTTTCGGGAGTCTGAGATAAAACATTAAGGCCACACAACTCTTAAAGAAGCAGATTGAAACACTAATGTTTCTATCATATTTTCAACTTATTCTATCCCCTTTCCCTTATACTATTGTACTGCATATAAAATGGTGTTTCAGTAAATTGTTAATTATTTGATAAAAATACCAGATTGGAATTTGCTTTAGTCATTTACGGGAGGAAAAAAAAACAAACAGAGGAGTTTTGCATGAAGTATGTCTAAGTAATTCCTCCCAGACATGATCCTCCAACAGGTAATGTAATAAATGGTGAGGGAAAAGCAAAACATGGCCTAAAGTTACTAGAAATAAACAAAACCAGGCAGACTCTGGATGGAAGACTGGATGACATGGAATAAGTGACTTTTTAAATTTTAATTAATTTTTCCTTAAAAGCAGGTTAAAGTCAGTGCCATGTTGGATGGCTACAACAAATCAACAAAACACAACAACAACAACAAAAAACAAAAATTACCAACCAAAAAAAAAAAAAAAAACCACCACCACCAACAAAAGAAATTTACCATTTTTCTGGCACACAGAAGCAAAGGACAGAGAGTGGGGCAACCACAGTGATTGGAAAATAAGGGACCTTGACTGGAAGGAGGGGACAAAAATTTAAAGTATAAGCTCTGTCCAAATCTCAAGTGATTCATGAACTACACAAGTGTGAGACAGATTCTAGCTAAGGAGGAAATTTAAGCTTTTACTTAAAAGCTAGAGTTTGCAATTTGAGTCGAATCAAATTAAATGCCTGATAAAAACAAAACAAACCGACAGATAAAATTATATTTCAGAAGAATGTAACATCTAGAACCTCCAAATCTAACATTAACATGTCCAAGACATGACAATGAAAATTACTTAACAGATGAAGATCCAGGAATGTCATTAATTCTCAAAAGACAATCAACATCAATCAATCTTGAAATGATTAATGGGAGTTATCAAATATTTTAAAGCAGTTATTGTAATTATATTCAAAAAACAAGGAAAATAAACTTGTAGTCAATAAAAAGATGGAAAGTCTCATCAGAGAAATGGAAACTTAAAAAAGAGAATGAAATAGAAGTTTTAGAACTGAACAACATTATTTGAAAAAATAAGTCTAATCCAGTTCTAAGATTTTCATATATTATAGGTCTGTCTTACAGGAAAAAGAAAAAAAAAAAAGAACAAACATGGCTGAGACTCATTGGAAGTTAGAAGGAGGGCAGAGCATAAAGTGTACACCTACCTGGATGAGGAGCTGCAAGACTTGCAGAGGGTGCTGAGAAGCAATGGGTTTTCCTTTGCCTAGAGTACTATTTCCCAAATTAAATTCCCTAAGATGTCAACAGAAGTTACAAAAAAATAGTATGTGAAATTAATAAAAGAGAGGTTTTTAAAATCTGAAACTGAAGTACTTCTTGAAGCTCTCTAAAAAAAACATGCAAATGTGTGATTTGCGTCTCTAAGAAGAGGGATGCAAAGCAGGTTCCAAACATATTCAACTACAGAAACCTTTCTATTCCAGTGCATGTAGAGGAACTCGTGTTCTGCAGAACACACTTTTGGAAACAGTAGGATAGAATTCAATCTTCTTGTCATAGAATTCAAAGCTCTTTGCCATTAAGTCCCAGCTGTTCAAACTCATTACCTTTCAGGATTCCTCATAAGATGTATTAACACATAAGACTTTGTTTTAGCAATCGTGATGTATTGTTTTGTATACCAAAGCACCTTTACCTCATCATTTATGCAACCTCCCTATACACATAGAATGCTTTTCTGCAATGTTGTATCTTCTAGTCCTATCTCAATGATTATAGTACCCCCTGAGAAGTATGAGAAGAAAACAATCTGAGTTTTCATTGTGAGATGGCACAGCATGTGGGGAATTAGTCATCACTGGAGTGATTAAGCTCTGGACGAAGTGAAAAACGTTGGCAGAGTTCTAGCCCAAGAATGGACATTGGCTATTTAGGGGTCCAGCAAACTCCAGCTTTCCATCACTAATGGGCAAAGAGTATGTAATCAGAGGCACAGGTTGAAGGGAAGCCAAGAGGTACAGTTCTCACTGAGATTATTATTGTAACATTTTTAAAGAAGAAAGCTAGATTTAAGAGAGCTGGATGGTAGCCCTAGCTTTGCTTCTAAAAGGCTGTGTGGAAGTCAGCAAGTCATTTGCCTTCTTGGGAACACTGTTCATTATATACCTGAGTGAATAGGTCTCACTGGTGGTATCCTAGTGCTGTAAATGAAGACCACCAGGTGAGGTGGTTGGATGGTTGGAGTAAAGAGAGAAGGAGTCGCCCCTGGCTTCCACCAGAGCAGCTCTGCTTATTTTCTCCATTTTATATTGGGCTTCCACATACGAGTCTTCTAATGCTACTCAGAGACAGCTTGCAAACCTTTGAAGTAGATGATTTCCAAGATGATTTCTATCTCTAGCATTTTGAGAGATTATTCAATCTGTATATTTGAAAGGAATTTTCAGAAAAGCCTGTGGTCATTCCTGCTCCATAATTTGTAATTGAGGTTTGCAATAGTGTGAAACAGTGCCTCTCAAATTTTAATATATACTCAAATCGCCTAGGCTTTTTGCTAAATTCTGCTTCAGGAAATCTGGGATGGGTCCTGGGAGTCCGTACTTCTTGCAAGGGTCAGGTAAAGCTGATGCTGTTGGTTGAGAAGTCACACTTTTGAACAACGGAACACAGTTTTCTAGTGAAACACTGTGGAGAAAAGTGTCAATGGGTAAACAAGTGTGAAGGCTGCCAACTAAACCTAGCTCCTCTTATAGTCTTATGAAGCATGCTGTAAGAGACTATCAAAGTCTCACAGAAATTTGACTGGGTTTTAACTGGTGTGTCCTGAATGAATTTTACTACAGAATCCTTTCATGAAGAAATGCCTGTTTACATAACAACAACAACAAACAGGTGTTATGTAAAACACAATTTTGGAATAATTTTATTATACGGGGATCTTAAAAGAAATTGTCTGCTTATTCAATCCCTGTTTCTGTTACCAAATAAACCACATTCTCAGATTTTACCTGAGAATAATCAAATATACAGCTTCCTTGAATTTTTCTTGAAATTTCAAATGCGAAGTCTTTTGAAACCAGTTAATATATGTGTCAGGAATGGCCTTAACCAGATAAGGCTTCAATGGTATGAATAGTACTGTTCTATTTGGAAGATGTTGGGAAATGCCTCCACCTAGAAATATTTATTCTGCTAATGATTATGTACCGCATTGCTGATGAATTTTCTTTTAGGTAGCGCTTCACTGTCTCCTGTTCTCGGATGAACAGGCTCCCGGGAATGCTGAACATTGGGTCTCTAACACACACTGTGGCGAAGAGTTGCTGTGATCTCTTGCTTCCCATGATGGCCATGGAAAACAATGAAACAGTCCCCTCCCATGTCCATGGCCAACCCCTTTCAAAGTGTGCCCACATACCCCTTGACCAACTTCCCAACAATCCAAGGGTAAAGCTAAGGCATGGATTATCATGCTCATTGAACAGATGAGAAAATTGCAGCTGAGAGAAGTTATTTGTTGGAAGACCTCTCTCTATTGGCAGAGCAAAGATAAAAGGTCAATAAAGAGGTCTAAGAATTAGCAAACTTTTCTGAGGCGTTTCATATATTTGATATTTTGGTCCCATTTTGCACATAGGAAAACTGAGGTGTAAGATCATGTATCGCTTGTCTCAGTCTCCCGGTTAGTGAATGGTGGTGCCGGTATGCAAGTCCATCTGTTAGATTTCAGTGCATCAGTGTGGGTACCTTCAATATTTCTTCATCTGTTTCAGATATTAGCAGCTACTAGGCCTTGTAAATGATGGGAAAAGGTTTCACGAGGATAATGAGGTATAAGATCAGACATCTGCCACAGAGGAGTTTTCTCTACTGCACAAGTTTGCCCAAGGCCAATCATCATTTCATCACATGGTTTCCTTTTTCCCCCTTTTAAACATATTGTATAGTATTTTGTATGAGATGCTGTTATTGCTAGCTCATGATTCCTTAATGTCTTAATGAAACACTCTATTTCCTAGGTACATTTTTACATCATTCATCTCAGAGAAACTCTAAAGATTTTTTTAAAATCATATGACATGAAATCTCTATTTTGAGATTGACCCAGCCTGTACAGTTTTGATTGTCTGGAGTCTTAAAAAATGTTCTTCCTAAGCAAAACACTAGTCAGCAGAGAAAAAAAACCAAAAAAACAAAAATCATCTTATAAAGTTTTATAAAGACATCCAGACAGACTAGCCTCTTTGATAAATCAGGTCTGTAGAGGAATACGAAATCAGGTCTACAGAAGAATATGAAAGGGTCAGACCCAGAACATGCACAGACAAAATTGACCAGAAATTCTTCTGTTGCCAACACAATACAAGGCTCAGAGCAGATATTCCATTTCTCAACTCAAAATATTCTTCTAGGAAGGAAAGCTTTTGACCGTCTGCCTAGGAAGCCATTTGCACCATGCCTCATAATGTGATCTTGGTATTTTTCACAGGATTTCACACTCCACATGTTGACTGTGACTTATAGATTCCATTTCAAATGTTATTTATTTCTTCTTTTTTGATAATCAGCCAAAGTGAAAATCTGTATGTTGCCAACGAATCAATCTCAACGTCATTCTTACTGGTGCCACCTTGGGCTAGATGCAGTGGGGGTAAATGTGCCAGGGACTAGCCTAGGACATTTCCAGGATGTCTGGTTTAATACACACCCTGAGAGTGGCAGGAGGCAGACAAATGCCTACGCAGACAGGGCTGGGTCCCTGGTGAAACTCCACCTTCAAGGCAAAGAGAATTTAAAGTCTAGCTGTAAGTCCCAGAGAAACTGTCTTCCCTTTCGGTGTGCTTTCCTCTGAATGATCCCTACCCTTCACCTGTTTTACATGTACCTACCCTTCCCTAATTGGCATTTTATACTGTCATGCCCACCTTGGAATGCTGCCTTTAACTTTTTTGCATACTCACAAACCAATCAGCATGCACTCTCCTACTCTGGGCCCATAAAAGGCTGGGAGTCAGCCACACTGGGAGAGAAACCACTGGACTTCGGGTGGGGTACCACCTCCATGTCCCCTCTCTGCTGAGAGCCATTCTGTCCTTCAATAAAATCTTCTCTACCCTCCTTATCCTTCGATTGTCAGTGTATCCTCATTTTTCTTGGATGCAGGACAAGGACTTGGGAACTGCTGAGTGAGTATGAGCTGTAATGCAGGCGGGCTGGGACATGACCAGCTCAGCTGTGGGCTGAGCCCATGCACAAGCCAGGCACGGCCTGGGTGGGCCGAGTGGGCAGGCCACCTCCTGTGACAGGTAGTGTGCCCAAGCAAGGGCCAGGCGAGGGCGTTGCCAGCAGGAGGTCCCCAGCTGGCAAAGTGACTGAGAAAACTCCTGCATCAACCCTAATCCTATGAGATAGATAAGACCCCCCAAACCTATATGCCCATGAGATCAACTGAAGAGCTTTATGAAAATGAATCCCAATCCAGGCCTATCAGGTCAGAATCTCTGGGATAGAAACATGAAATTTCTATTTCAGTAGTTATCCAGGGAATTATGAGGCACTTCGAGATTTACCAGCATCTGAGAGAAAACAGACGTTGTTGTCTTAACTTTATTCATGAGGAAGCTGAAGCTCAGAGAGAGAACGTGCATCCCAGATGACTGTGGGCTGATTGTCCCTGATTTTCACCCATAGGTCCTCTTCAGAGTCTGTTGAGGACCCCCCTACAACTGGAAGTATGGTCTGCAGACTATCAGCATTAGCATCACCTGGGAGTTTGCTCCCAGGCCCCCTCACCACAATGGCAGATTCAAAATCTACATGTTAGCCAGTTCCCAAGGGGACAGGACTGCTCTGTACTTCTGGGGCTGGGAACTGAAAACACGGCATTTAACAGACTCCACTGCCAGCAAACCTCCTTTAAAGGTTTTGCCAGTGGGAGGTACTAAAGGAGATAGAAAGGTAAGAGGAAGAAAGGAGCTATTTTTGTCCGCTTTTGCATTTCCTACAGAGGCGGGAGCAGGGGCAGGGAATTTGAGGCACGCTACTGTGGGCTCCAGCGTGTGATCATGATCTTTGAGTTTCTGGGTGAGTAGGGGCTTTGGGGTTCCTGCCTGTGGTGGTGATGCAATGTAGTAACAACAGCAGCAGGGACCTGGCACTGGTGGTGATCATGAGCTCCAGCCAAGGGGCAGCAGAAGGTTCTTCACTTAAGAGTAAGTCTCTTCTCTTCTGCACCTTCAGTTCTTCCAACACCATTGTAAACAATTGCTGGCATTAAGCCCCAGTCTTCTTGAAATAACAAGAGTGTTTCTCTTTAACTGGACATTAACCAATATAATAATATAACTATCATATAACTATAGTCCTTATCAAAGACGTGGGGCGGAGATGCAGTTCCAGAGTCTGTG